ACATTTTCTTAACGTTTCAGTTTCCTCGGGTCTTACATTGTAGTCTGATGGTACAGTTTAATCTAATAATAAAATTTTATTTAAAGTTTTACTATCATATTATATCTAATCAGGCCTATTAGAAGTTACAGTTATTATCAGTTTGGACGGAAATTTCCCGACATGATTTAAGCAATTTCATTTTCTTTCGTTTGAGGCCCGAATAGGGTTTATTTTCACCAAAATTAGAAACTTCTATTTTGTTATTTACAGAGCGTTTTTCGAACCTTTGTGATGGTATATTTTATTTTTAAATATTAAGAGTTAATAACAAGCCTTACTTAGTCGTCTGTTGACATGGGTTGTTGCCAAACCGAGTAAACAGGTCAACGAGAAATGAACAGTAATTTTGCAAAACTTTTACAGATTTAACTTTCCCTTTTATCAAAGATAATCGTGCGTTTACTTAAGTTTCTTTTTAAATTATTTGCTATTATTATTTTACTCAAACCATTGCTCCTTATTCAGTTATTATAAATAATATCGTTTAGACGTTCAAGTTTACTGTAATTTTTAGTCATAAATTAATAATACTTAGTAGTGGAAATAAATGTTTTTTACCTAAGACCTATAGATTAAAATGATTTATTTGATTTTGTTCCTTCGCATTCTACAAAAAGTACACCCAAAAAGAAAAATCTGCAGGGATTTTATTATTTTTTCGTGATATTAAGTACATTGTAGTAATTTATAAATTGATTGGCTCTACTAGGGTAGCTAACACTAGGGTATAAATAACAGTAAAATGATACTGTGTTTCATAGGTCGAATGAACAGAACCGAAGCACAGAATAAATAATAGTACGGAGGCCGTAATCACTGGTACCTAACGTAGTTTATTGTAGTTCTCGTGGGTGACAACGCGTTTTGATTCTTAATCTTAATCGAGAACAGATATATTTTTATTTATTTCGTACTAACAGCTACCATTACAGGGCTAACTAATGCAGCAATTTAGTAATTAATAATTATTTAAATAGTACATACTAAGCAATAATGTTTAAAACAAAAAAAAATATTATAATAATTTCGCTCTATACTTTTACGAGTGAAATTTGCAATTTTTCACTTAAACGAAAAGTGCTCCCGTGCGGCACGGTGAATCTCCGCGGTCTCAACCGGCTCACCGTGTAGTGGTCGAGTTTACCAAAACTAAACTCTTGTAATATGTCGCCACGAGCCACAGCATTTGCAGGACAGGTTGTTTGCTCATTTGTTACTCCACTACTACGTGAGTTCATCAAATAATGTATATATATATATATATATATATATATATATATATATATATATATATATAAATATATAATTATATATATATATATATATATATATATATGTATGTATATAATATATATATATATATGTATGTATGTAAATTAAATTGAAGTATTTTTCTGTAATATCTAAATAGCCGTCTTAGCCTTTTATTTAGCTGGAGGGTTCAGCTGGCGGGCTTTTTTGTGTGCTGACTGTCTGTCCGGGCTAATTTTCGTAATGGCTAAACTGCATGTAATGAATATCGACGAAGAGATAGAACAGTGTCAGCAGTGATCCAGGCTATATTTTATTAAAAAAAAAATGGATTTTTTGAGTTTCAAAATATAATAAATTTAAAGGTATTTTAATTTATTTAAATATGGCTTTCAAAGACAGTAAAATAAGATAAGGACATTAATGTTTATCTATGTTGGTATCAGGAGACCATGATATTTCATTATGTCCATTTCGGGTTAACAAAAGCATATCGTGGCCACAGATGGTGAGGGAAGATTATTAGTTCTGTAGCAAAGGGATAAACGGTCGAGCAGCCGTTTGAAATTTAATTATAACGAAAATATTTCTCATAGCAAAATTAAATAAGCGAATATAAATGCCAGCAATCACTCGATCTTTCTTGTTATTAGAAATACATTAAAGATAAAATAAAATAAATACTTTATATAGTTTAGAGTATTTCAAAATTAATATAAAATGTAATTTCAAAATATTTGCCCACTTGAATGACGACTAATTCAAGGTAAATAAATGGCGAGTCCTTTATTCTAATTCCGTTATAAATAGAAAAAAAAAAGATTTTTGGATTTTGATGTAATGATTTTAATCTCTGTCACTGCATATTGTTATTTGGAGACAAATATGTGGATAAATATTCGATCCATTTGAAGCTGTACCTTTACAGGTGGAAGTACTCCTTTATTGTCTAGAATACCATCTAGAAAAGTACCATAACTATTTCGGTCGTCAAGCAGCAATGCGTGCACTGCTGTGTTAATTTCTGCAAGTTACATTCTTGAGGCATTACATCTCAGTCTTCCGTGGTGATAACGTATTCGCAGTATTCTTTGTTTGAAGTTGGTTGCAGAAGTCTATGGACTGCAGTAGCCACTTACCATGAAGAATGTTATAATATGCAAATGAACATACAGTCCACCTGGGATTGTAATTTTTTTAATCTTTCTATCTTTTAAAAAAGAATATTACCTTCACTATGGAATTTTCTACTGCATCGTGGGGCTTACAAACATGAATTTCACAAGGACAAACATCCAGATCCGGCCTGTAAGTTCGTTTATCACCGTTCATCACTTCTGTTTTATAAAAAAAAACTTCCAAATTATGAGTTAATACTTATCTACCATTTTAATACGTCGTTACATAGAAATAAAACTGGCTTATTTAGCTTTTTTTTTGTACGAAATGTAGGAGGATTGCGTGGGTGCCTTAAAAATCCGAAGTGAAAAGGCTAAACCTATATCAACTAATGCTTTACGTCAAAATTATTTTCCGTTTCTTAGAAACAATTTAGATATAATCCAAGTACTGTCATAACCTAACATTATCAGTATGAATTATTTAAAACAATTTATTTGATGGGAATTTATTTTACGTTACCCCTTTTAAGCGTTGTCTTACTGCTTTGTTATTCGTTACAAGAAAAGATCTATTTAAGAGGGGAAAAAGCTTGCTTGTTCATTGCCCTGTATAAAAGCGGTAAAGATTTTTTTCAAAGACGGAGACTGTATGAAAAATTTCAATGCATTACTTGAACAAAGACGCTTGAGTGGTGATGGGGAAACACCCTAGAATTTTTATACTTTGTTTTTTTTTTAAGTTACTAAGTGCTATAAATCATACCTAAACCACAGAATAAATGATAGTTAAAGAACCTAAACCAAATTTACTCAAAATAAAAGGGAAAAACAATTTTTTTTCTCTAAAATTTTGTGAATTCTCAGAAAATAGACTGCTTTTTAGTTTAGCTAAATATTCAAGATTAGGTTATCTTTTATTGTTAAACGAAGGTTATATAAATTTTTAATTATTTAGAACTAGAGCTGTGGCTTTTTTTAAATTACTTCAGTGGGGTTATTCAATTTGATTTCTATAAACTTTAACGCTAATTGTAGAAAACTATAAAAATTCAGTTGAATGATAAGTCTAAATGTTAAGTCGACTACAACCTTTCACAGTACTCTAGCATACCAGGATCCCATCGCCGGTTTCACCAATGAAATTTTTGACTGCGACATTAAGCACCTGCTCATTTTACATTTGTTTGATGGGCCAGAAAAATATCGTGACGAAATAATGTAGTCTGGGGATTCAATTTAAAAAAAAAACAAAAGCAATTCCGAAAATTTGATTCCGAAGAGTACAGCAAAGTTATCAACAAACTCTCTTTTCTATTTTTTATTGAAAACGTTACCTCCACACTAGGATTTTCTCTTGTATCGTGAAGGCATTTTAAATACATAAATTTCACAAGGGCAAACATCCAGATCCGAAAAATTGTAAACCATACAGATACGTGTTCTGTGCGGGAGTCGAACCCGAGGCCCTGAGCACCGCAACTTATTGCTAAGCCACTGTGCCACGGAGCCGTCTAACCGTCCATAAAGTGGCAAAAACGGGTTTATTCATTCATTCATTCATTACAGCCTATCAAATATCCACTGCTGAACATAGCTCTTCCCTATAGATTGCCTAATAAGGGAGATTTTACTATGGCAAAAGGACGGCAGCGATCAGAAGCCGGTTGGCAACCGCAGCTTTTTATTATGTTCGGTTATTTTTAGGATAACGTTGCTGACCATTCTTAATTTAGTTTCCCTCTGTCGCTTCTTACGACATCCGCGAAGGTTTCGTAAGAAGCAATTATGTTATGTGGTATTGGATGTTCTTATAGCGTGTTCATAGTTCATAGTTTAAGAACTATTTTGATTAATAAGAGAGAGAGAGAGAGAGAGAGAGATATTTTTAAAATTTGTATTTGAATACAAAACGGAAATTTCATAGGTAAAGACCGGCAATGAAAAACATATCAAATGTAGTATTGTAGATATCTCGAATATAATTATTGACTGTAAGACATTCAATCTAGTCCTTAAAGACGATAACGCATATTTACCTTTACCTTACTACCTATTACCCTGTTTGAAGCACTTACCATCGAATGGACTCATTTGACACTATGTTACACAAGAAAAACTATGGGAAAGATCCTTTCAGAAGCAAGCGACTGTTTACGGGCTGGTACAAATAAAGATTGTTACTTGAAGTGACCTGAATCGGAGTTTCCTCTATTTTCGACTCGATCATAAAAGTTTCCACATCTGCATATTTTAAATCACTATTAACAAAGACGTTAGGAGCGACATTCCTGTTGAACGCTTACGGTTGTATTGTAACAACTCTAAATATAATCGTGATGTTTACGCTCTCATATACGTCCCGTTTCTGGACGAGTTGTGTAGCTCAGGCGCCGGCAAAGTTACCCGTATAACGTCAGTCGTTCGTCTAACCGTTAACTGATACACAGGGGCATACGCAGTACACTCTGCGGCTTTTGTTGACAAATTTTTCTTGTTATCTTAATCAAAACACACTATTTGATAAAGTATCGATAAAACTAATGCGATTCTAATTTAGTTTTAATTTAGCTTTATGAAATCATTAAGATGTTTGTAAAGAGGTATAATAAGAGTTGTTTAGTTGCTGTTTTGTTTTTATGCTGTTTGATAAAGGGTGAGTTTTTGTATTTTGATTTATTTATTAATATTTGAATTCAATAACAGCTTATAGATTTCCTACTATTTTTACATAACGTAAAAAGCTCCAATAATTTTTATATTGTTTTTATAGATATTTATGGCCAATAATTACGCTTTTATGTAAATATTACAGCTATAATTCGCATTCACATTCGCATTGAGTACATTCGCAAAAATAATTAATTAAATATACAAAAATACCAATTTGTTATCTCAATTTTTCAAACTATAAATAATTGTGAATGAATTTTCGTAAAGCCTGTTTCAAACGCCTAACTACGAACGAATTTAATTTTTATTTTTAAACAACCTATTGTCATTCATATTTCATTTGAATGTCATTGTCATAATATATATCTAGATAATTATCTGTGGTAGGTATGACAGGAAATTGCGCACCAACCAAATATGTCGCGCCATGTCCCCATGGACCACTGTTAGTGTTTATGTATAGCGTGTTCATGATAGGCATGCATAGTTAAATAAATTATAACTATTCATTTCGATGTATATGTACATAATTAACTCCGATAATTTTATTTTACGGTATTTTTTGAAAATATCGGTTAACCTTTTAAAACCCTTTATTAAACCATCCTGTTGATGAAATTTAAAAAATATATATGTACATTTCTAATGACAATGAGGGCAAATAATTTTCCGCCAGATGTCGCTAGTTGGGACTGAGGAAAAGTTGTTTATAACAGAGAATCACCATTATAATAATATAGTTTTTCGTTTCAACTAAAGGTAGTTTTTGGTTTCTAGTGTATGCACTCATATATACAAAACATTCCCTCGGAGGTAGTATTTCACTCTTTTTAATTCTTTACTTAATATCCACAGCTGGTCTATCAATTTTAATCTAGTTAATGTAAAATATAACTAGTATTTGAGAAAAAAACATTAATCATTATATTTTTCTAACAATTTAGATTTCCTCCATGAAATCTGTCAAGTATTTAACCTCATTTCAAAGTAGCGCCGTCCTAGTGACAGAAAAAGTTGTCGATGCCTTCATTGTGAAATTATAAAATGAAAAATATTATCAAAGGTTTTTAATATATTTTCTATTATTAGAGACGAAGTAGCTCACTCGATGCTCGCTGAAATGTCATAGTATGCAAGCAACTCGGGTTCGATCCCGGCCGGCACCAACAGAATTGATACTTGCAGTTTTCAATGTTCATTTACCAAATGCATAGCAGTAAAGAGAACATCGTGAGGAAACTCGTATGTCTAAAATATTTCAAGGACGTATGATGTTCGATGTACCTACTAGAATAGCGCGGCGGATCACCTATTTCAGAAACCTTCACAGAAATAAGACGAAGCCTGTGCCAAGCTGTGGGGCGTATATAAATTTTATGTTGAAGTACTTTTTGTATATAAGCATTCCCGCTAATTACTACCAACCAATGGTGTTCACAGTAGTTCACGACAGTAGTTGAAAGGCAGATTTGGACCTGCCTTTTTAACTAGCTAAGTCAGTGGTTGACTACTATTCCAACTGATGGTATGGTGTTGTCCCCGCGGTGACCATGGGTGCTGTAAAGTACTCGAAACGTAGTTATATTAAATAAATTTTATTTGTTGAAATATTAGTTCAAGTTTTTTTTTTTATAGAATAAGAGTGACAAACGAGCACACAGTCCACCTGATGATAAGTGGATGCTGCGGCCCATAGGCATCTACATCTATCCTCGATTACGAATCAAATTACAGATGCGTTGTCACCCGTGAGGACTAAGATGTAATGCCTCGTTTCCAGTAAAAAGGGTCTCCGGTTCTCTACACTCACCAAACGAAACACAGCAGTGTTAAGCTGCTATTTTACGCTGGTATTCTGTGAGAGCGTGGTCCTTCCCCGGTCGAGCCGACCCATTCGTGCTACAGCTATACCAGAAACATGGCTGCAGCATGGCTCTACCACGTGTCAGCTAAGCATAGACGAGGACACATAGTTATTAAAGTTTATATTATAATGAGTATACAAAAATATTAATTAAGAAATTTGTCAATCTTTACGTAAATTAAAACAAAAACAGCCACTTTGCCCATAAACTTCATACTTCATCCATAAAAATCATATTCTTTTATATCATGTTATATACAGCAACATAATAATTTCCTATACCAGAACAAACAACGGCAGTTATTAAAACGCGTAACACAATACAAGAAGCGTGTATCAAACGACAATTTGATGCGTTCGGTCACCATCTAGTTGAGCTCGTTAAACGCAACGTGACGTTACCAATTCCTAAAATTATGCCCGCCATATTGGTGTCATGGTGGCGTCAAATTAATATAAAGGGTTTTATCCACTGCGCTCAACTATATATTTGGGACATTGGCATATTTGGGGCGATAGGCAATTAGAGCGAGTTAAGGATAAGAAGGGAAAATCTCTTTGTAGCTGGGATTGAACAAGATTATTTTTAAGATTATTATTGAAGATTATTATAGTTAAAATCGAAAAGCCATAGTATACAGGGGATAAGCGTTTGCGTTAACTATCACCAAATAAAATTGTAAAATGCAACTTTAAGTTGATTTAGGTACTACATCTTCGGCGGTGAATGATCATAAATAATTCTGTGTTTAAGAAATTCAAACTATTTCGTGGCAATTTTAAGTCATCAAACACTCATTTAGGCATGGCATAGCGTCGGGTGTGGGTAGGACGTATTTAGATTGCCACTTTTAACTTTATATTTTTAGAATTGAATAAGAATAACAAACGAGTACACAGTGGGTACCTGAGTGAGTACCACCTAATGGTAAGTTGATGCTGAAGCACATAGACTATTTCATCTGTCCTCGAATCAAAATCAGAATTATGCGTTGTCACCCCTGAGGACTAAGATGGAATGCCTCGTGCCAGTAAAAAGGTCTCCGGACCTCTACACTCATCATGCGAAACACAGCTGCAATAAGTTGTTGACAACAGACTGTTGTTTTACGCTGGTATTCTGTGAGAGTGAGCTGCAGCATGGCTCTACTCCGTATATTATTTAGTGTATTTTTGTCATACTTCCATATCACGTATTATTTGATAAATGTAATAGATATATTTGCGTTAGTCTTATTCAAACCAGAAAATCTGTTTAGGTCTTATCTCATTAAGTGTGTAAACTAACGCGGATTTACTGGCTCATACTTGCATACCGTTAAAGATGTAATAGCGTCCTTGCGACAAGATTGGGAGTCTAAATTGCACTTTAACTTATGAAAATTATCAATTCATGTGCATGAACGTATGTTGAAGGGATTTTGAATATAACGCACGCGAATTAAAATATAGGTGCTATATCAGGCTATTAATTGAGTTTTTTAATCTTATTCATCAACCCTTAGCTGTCAACATATGGTACTTTAAGCTCTAATATGGATACATTTTTAGTATTCCGTAGTTCAACAACAAGGAACTCTTATAGTTTTGCCATGTTTTCTTTTATATTCTACTAAGCCAGCGCTTATCTACGCGTCCACCTGATGGTAAGTGGTGATGTTGTCTAAAATGGTGAAGCGCACTGACTTAACAAAAGTCTATTCACTCTTACATTGAAGCCATCCACACTGTAATGGGTCCGCAGTTTTACTCAGTTACAGATATTAATCACCCCTACAAAACTAAACATAAAAATTAATAAACATTTTAATTTTGGATACCTCCCCTACATGTAAATGCAGGATGATTTTTTAACCGTCTATTTCAACGTGTGGGGTATCTAGGGGCAGGTTTTTTAAAAAAACTCTGGACATGAAAGAACATCTATTCGAATCAAGGGTCCGTTTGCGAAATATTTAGCTTCAAAGCGGTATTTTTCATTAGAGTCTTTTACCAACTAAACTACTGTTTCTAGAAATGTAAAAGGTATACACTATAGTGGTAAATATATATAATGAAGTTAAAAGGAAAACTATCACAGTTAAGTAGATTTAACAAGTTGACGAGTATTATTCGACCAACTTATAAAATGCACTTGGATTAGTAAAAATTTCGTTACAACTCCATAGAAAATGAATTAAAACTTGCTGCATTATAACTTTGTAATGTTATTGTAAATTGTAAGAAATAAACATTTTATGAAGAAAACGATTTAAATGCATTACTACTATGGCTCTACTTTTTCCTATGTGGGATAGGCAGGGTAGATTTTTACGACACGACCCTCAAGATGATCACTGAGAACCATCACTGAGTTCATCAGTGATGGTTTACGGAAAGGTTCGTTACGGCCATATACATCTTAGGGTTGCACCGCCGGGAATATAGTCCAAACAACTATGACTATCTTTCTATGGATTTGGCATGTGAATAATTTGATGTAGATTGTATTATTATAAAATCTAAAAGTATTTAATCTTTTCACCATTCTTTGTAAAGAATGGTGAAAATACTAATATTTTCAAAATAAGTCCTGCACACCTTCTATTTAAGCCCAGTTTTAGTCAAACCGCGAAATAACTTATTTTATAGGATAAGGGTGACAAGCGAGCACACAGTTCACCTGTGGTAAGTTGTTGCTGTAGCCCATAGACATCTACATCTATCCTCGTTTGCGAATAAAATGCAGATGCGTTGTCAGACGTGAGGACTAAGACGGAATGCCTTTTTTCTAGTAAAAAGGGTCTCCGATTCTCTCTACTCACTAAACGAAACAGCAGCATTAAGCTGCTACTTTACGCTGGTATTCTGGGAGAGCGTGGTCCTTCCCTGGTAGAACCGACCAATTCGAGCTACAACAACTATACTAGTAATATAGCTGCGGCATGGCTCTACCACGTTTAAAACCCTACTGCCCATCTCTTGGTTCGTTTTCCTATGTCGCCTCCTATGATATCTACGGAACGATATGGAGTAGTAAATGTTCTTACCCGCGTCTACACGGTCAATTTAATAATAGGTAGATACGTATTTATAATTAGTTGCTGTATGCCTATTAATTCGCTTACGGGAAGTTTAAT